CAATTAAATTGGCTTACTATAAGAATTATGATCGCATTCACTCATTTAGTCGCTGACTTAGGGCTTGTTTAGTTCACTTTATTTTTGATTATATGAACTTATCTGATCTAGTAACCAAATTTGACTAATTTTTGACCTTAAGTGTATGATAATTTATAAAGAAAAAATATATTAGGTGAGGTTTTGTTAAATTTGTAATGATGTGTATTTTATTAATATGTAATCAATAATATTATTATTATTATTATATGTATAATATAATCTAATCTAATATATATATAAATAAAGTTGACATTTTTTGAGAGCATTCGGAGCGCCACGTAAGAAATATGCTTATTTCGACCAATAAGAAGAAAGATTTGTATTTTATTTTTGAATTAAAAAATTATGTCGCCACCTAGATAAAATAACGAATTAGATTTGATATATCTAAAATTTTAATGTCACGTAGATTATAATCCACGAATTAAATTATTTTAATGAAAAAAAATAAAGTAAAATTATAGGAAAAAATAAATTTATTAATTCAATACTACGAGTATAAGAAATCCAAAAAAAAAATATACTAAGAAATATTTAAATGATAACCGCTTATAATAAAGTTTGATACCTATCATTATAAGATAAATTTTGATAGTATTTATGATAAGAAATACAAATTGTTCGTTAATTATAATTAAATTAAAATTTGTGATACCTACCATTATAATTTAACACATCATACGACACAAACAAAATTTCGTATCAATAAAATCCTCTATCAAGCGAATTTTGTGTTAGTAATTTTGTGTTAATTTTTGGTCATCAATGGCCGGGTAATTTTTAGCTTAATTTTTAAAATCCTATGTTTAAATTAGTACTTCTAATTATTACTTACATTGTATTAATTTGGGATACTCAACGATTATAAGTTTATGTTTTATTTACTAAATATTTTTTTACATGCAGATCTAACACATCATACGGCACAAATAAAATTCTGTATCAATACAAAACCCCATCAAACGAATTTTGTGTTAGTAATTTTGTGTTAGTTTTAGGTCATCAATGTCCGGGTAATTTTTAAAATCTTATGTTTAAATTTATATTTATAATTATTAGTTACATTGTATTTATTTAGGATACTTAACATTATTTGTTTATGTAATGACATACGATTAGATGTTGTGTACTTAATATATGGATTACTTTGGTTATTTTTGGGGATGATAAAAAAATTCCAATGCATAGATTTGATTTTATATCGCAACAATTTTTCATTTATTGGTAAATATATTGATTTATTTTATATAAATGTAAAGATTTAATTTATATCAATTTCAATTTGGCTAACACTTCACGGTTCAATTTATCCATTGATGTAGTAGGTTGGTTGTGGACGAGGTTGGTGATTCTATTGAAATAAAAGATATGGTAAAATAATGAATAATGATTTAGGATTTAAATTATTAAAAATTTATCATTTCACATTAAAGATTTTATATAATGGAGAAAATATCATATTTACAATTTATTCATATTTAATAAATTCATTATAAATTATAGTAAAAAAAAAATAAATATTAAACTTTTGTAATTTTATCAGAAATTATTAAATACAATAAATCAAATAATTAAAAATCTTAGATAAAAAACCGTGCATCAGACATGTCATTTCCTGGTGCTGTATTTTCCCTCCAAAACTCCCCCTCCCTTTTTTTAATATTTTTTTTTTAATTTTTGGTCAATGCCATCAACTACTTATTATAAATTATATACAATATTCACCAAATCATAAAATTATGATTTTTTTTATTCACATATTTTACAAATCTAAATTAAAATTTCTCCATATCTATTAATTCCTAACTATAAATATTACTCGATATATCATATACAATACTGGTGGGTCAAATATATGGTTATTATCATGTCTATATATAGATTTGGTGAATGCGACAGGTAAAACATGTATTAAATTGTAGTTTGCTAAAGTGAATGATATGACAAAAAAAAATTAGTTTTTTCCCGACGGAGATAGAAAATAAATTAGTCTTTCTACTTCTCTTAGATAGTTATTTGGAGCATTATTCATTTATTTTTCAATTAATAATATAACATTATAAAAATTAAAAGAAATGCAAATAATAAAATACTATTTAAATTACAATCTTTTATTTTTGTGTTGACCATTAGTAAATTAGCCTTTTATTACTAATTGAATTATCTTTGTTTTTTTCCTAAGGAATTAATAATTTGATTTATAAATCGTGCATCGCACGGGCACTATGGTAATTTTCATAATATATCAAGGGCGGATGTAGCCAAGTGGATCAAGGCAGTGGATTGTGAATCCACCACGCGCGGGTTCAATTCCCGTCGTTCGCTTTGAACTTATTTTTTCTGATCTAATCTGAACTTATTTTTTTTATCTGAACTGATCTGAACTTATTTTTTCTGAAATAAGTAAAATAAGTTGAACTAAACAAGGCCTTATTTGAATTTTCTATTGATCTAAAAGAAGGAACTTTAGTGGCATTTGCAGATTTAGAAAGATGTTGACCATAGCAACCCATGTACTCGTCAACAAACTTGTTTTGACAAATCGAACTGGCTGTCCATAATTTGGAGCATAGAATTCAATCCTTCACATTAATGCAAATTTGCATTTTGTAAGCCAATTCCTGAAACTGATGCCAGTCTACGCACTTTGACTTTTCTTTTGTCAAAGTTGTTCACTAACTCTCACCATTAATTTTACCAATACTCCGTACATGAAAAATTAGCCTGATATCATATTAAACTCAAGAAATATTGAAGAAAATGGCTTAGCCTTTGTAATTGATATTAACCACAATATATATACACAAGATTTAACTTGCCTAAAACTCCTAACAAGATAAACATTGCAAATATACAAACTTATCATAAATAACCAAACCGACTTCTAATAAGCATATGAAATTTTTTTCCCATTCCATGTATTATAAATGTCAATTCCATTTGAATTACGTAGGAAAAAATGTAACTTTTATACACCTTACAAATAAAGTGGTTTTCCAGCTCAATCAAAATTTATGAGAATTTCAATATCGTTTGAATTTTAAACCAACCAAGATTAGAAAATTTCTAAGAATTGAAAATGTGAAGTAAATTCCCGTGAAACAATACTTTCCATGTAAACCAAACAAACATTAAAATGTGGATGATCAACTAACTTGTTTATAATTTTGAGAGAGTTAGACCTATTTTATTTTTGTGGACTTTTAAGGGCACAGATCCAATCCACGATTAGACTAAGTTTTTGGGCCCGATATTGAGTCATACAGCCCAAGTCACAAGAGACACGAAGCCCAACAAGTGTAATAAGTAAAAGGATCCAAACTTCAAATAAGACCATCTCTAATGGTGAGACTTGAGGGAGTTTTTTTTTAGGAAAGAGAGTATTTTTAGCAAAGAATACCAATAAGTTGGTATCTAAACTTAGTAACTCCAAAAGAAAGTTGTTAAGTTTAGATACTCAATTTTGAGTCTCATTTGACAAAAAGTGTAAGCCCTTTATCAATATTATATATATTTGGTAATTTATTTAAGTTATATTTTTTTTTTTTTTTAAAACTTACGATATGGATTTGGTGGGCCATAAATTGAAAGTGATATTAGTATACTTTAGAGAGTCTCACTATTGAGAAATTAGACTTCACATGAGTTGCAAAATTGAGAAATGGGTTGGGTATCACAACTAGAGGTAAAAAAACAACTCATTTTGTATTTCAATACTCAATATTAAATCTCACCAACGGAGATGGTCTAAGTTCAACGGCAAAGGAAGAAAAGGAAAGGAGATGATTGTTGCCGGAGAGTAACCGCAAAACCATGATGTATAACTGCCATCAAAAAGCCCTATATAAACAGTAATAAACAACAGATCAAAGGAAAAACATCAAATTATATAATCAAACACTACACGTTACGCTTCTTTAAATTCTCTTTGTTTCTTACTCTGTAGCATTCTAGGCTTAGTAGCCTAGATTAGTGTAATGATAACAACAGCAGTAGAACTGTGACCTCTTGGGGCGATTAGAAAAATTTGGGATTGTGATCAATCATGGAGGTAACTCTCCCTCCTTGGATCTAATTCAATCATCAGCCTGTTAATCCCTCTAAACTCTCCTACTTGTATTCTTGTTTAATGATCGATTAACTTGTCTTTGAATATTTTGTTACATTGGTAATCATATATACTCGTACAGTCGTACAATATTGAGGCCTTAACTCAATGGCCACTAGTTCTTAAGGACATACCCTAAGATACTCTTACCTGGTAAGGAGTATTATTGATTTGTTTGCATTTTTGCACCAATAGAGGGGTGATATTTAAAACTTGGGACCAAATTTAGTTTGTAGCAATGTCTTGGCTCTCTTTGCACCTAAAAATAAGTATTAAGGTACCTAATATAAACATGACCCGTTGCGATTACAACTCAATAAAATATCATTTATATTGGACTGCCCACCTTTTTTCACAACTAACCCAAACCAACTTGCTAGTCAAATGATTACATTTCAACCCAACCCATTTGACCCGCAAATCGAATAACTTGACCCGCTTAGGGCACAATTTGCTATGAACACAAACCCGTTTTAGTCCAACTCGTTTTTTACCTAAACCGAACATGACTTACCCCGATTGCAATCCGAATTGAAATCGCAACAGATTATGTTTCAATCCAAAATATTTCAACCCAACTCAAAGCCGAACTGTCAACCCAATTGACAATGCTCTTTAATTCGAAAAGTGGAACAATTAAATATAAACAGAGGCAATAGAAAGTTGACTATGACATAATAGATGAAGTATGAGACATATTAGATGAACAAAGTCTAGCAAGGTAAGGTCACAATCGCAAGATAATATATTAAGTAATCTATAATAAATCTAATTATTAATGAATGTGATAGGGGGATTGGTAAATTATGGAACTATAGGGTGGGCGTCAAAGCCGCGTGGCCAAGGTTTTTTATAAGAAATGTAAACAAGAAAGACATGGTTGATTTGTATCATTGTCGACCAGTTCTCGGAAATACTTTATTATACCATTATTGATACGGAAATGTAAGTATAAGTGCGTAGAAATGTTGAATGGAATCATAAAACACAAACCAAACTCACCATAAAACCAAAAGAGGGAAGCCCATTTGAACTTGTTTCCAGCTCTTATCTGTTGGATCTCGATCCATCCATCATCGTAATTAATTAATTATTAAGTAAAATTAGATGGAAGAAGAAGTAACAAGAGATCAAATGGATCAAGCATCAGATTCGGAGAAGATGGAAAATGGAGCGAGTCGGAGGTTGAGCAGGAAAAAGTCATCGGTATCAGCATCGCGTTCATTCAAGCTGCGTAGCGAGAGCCTGAATTCGTTGAGGCTGAGGCGTGTGTTTGATCTTTTTGACAAGAACAAAGACGGCCTCATCACTGTCGATGAAATCAAACAGGCCCTTGTACTGCTTGGCCTAGACGACGAGGAAGACGATCATAATGATGACATAGAGCTCCACTCCATTGTCACCTCCTTCATCAAGCCTGGCTTCCATGGCCTCGCTTTCGACGACTTTGAGTCCCTTCATAAGTCCCTACACACCACCTTCTTCTTTGACTGCGGCGACAATGATCAGTTTCAGGATGATCATGACGATGTAAACCATCACCAACAAGATCAGGTGGAATCTGATCTCACTGAAGCTTTTAAGGTGTTCGACTCCAATGGCGATGGATACATCTCCGCCACTGAGCTTCAGCAAGTACTCTCCAAACTGGGTTTTCCAGAGGCCCAACAAGAGCTCCACCACATCCAGCACATGATCTCCTCCTTTGATGACAACCACGATGGCCGTGTCGATTTCTTTGAATTCAAGCATATGATGTCCCGTACCCTTCTTCTTCCTTCTGCTTAAATTAGTTGATTAAGTCTTTTCTTTTTTTAGCAATATGTCTACAATTTAAGCACTCAGATCAGCTCGTTTAACTTTTGCATTAGTCCTGGCTTGTTCATTTATTGGATCACATATATCTATTCTAATAATTTTATCTGTCATCTACTTTTATAATGTACAACTCTCCTGTCATCATATTCCTTACTGGCTAACTACATCTTCCGGTAATCGAATTCTTTACAACCTAAATCGTCATCGTTCTTTGATCATTGGATTGCATCACCATCACAATGATTCAACATTAAAGCTCATTCAATTTCACAACTTGTGCTCTGAGTGTTTATTTTAGACCTGATTTATACACACTCATAATATATACAGTAAAATGGACATACTTTATCAACATCTTCTATGAAAAGAAAGATGATAATTGGCAAATATGTGCTTTCAGGAAGGCAATTGCTAGAAACAAAAGAGAAACACCTTCTAATGCCCACATATACATATCAAGGAATCTAGATCATAGAAACAAAGAGATTGTAAGAGTGTATCAACAAACAAGTGCGGGAACATATAGGTTACGAGTGTATCAAAGAAAATCTTCACAAGCTCAGCACTTCAGGCCAGAGCTTATGCAATGCTTCAGGGAGTCCAGAATTACAGGGAAGGCACAACAGAAGAAAATTCATCACCCAAGACTAGCAGAAAAGCAAATAAAATCAATTGTGAATGATATTAACTCGATGCTAAAAAGGCAAAATTATACTATTTTTTGTAGTATTGTAGTATTTTTTGTTTGTTTAATTTTTAAAAAGGCAACAACAATTCTTATCTTCATCAGGTGGAAGTATCCCCGACAAATATAGGACCATGTATCTTTATACAAACCAGAGTTCTCACAAACATTTCAGCAAGTTCATGAATTTATATCACCAAGAAGATGATACATTCCACAGTGATCATACATTGGAAATATTACACCAACAGAAGTCCCTATATTCAGTGAAATCCTATACTATTTCTAGAATTGAGACTTGTCAAGATTATCAAAGTATGGATGATCCAGTGCTGCCTTGGCCGAGATCCTTTCAGCTGGATCATATTTGAGCATTTTCTACAAAACCAAAACAAAGGATCTCAGTTGATCTCTGTAAATTGAAATAATATATGGGATGAAATAGCATCAACCCACTCTCCATTGAGCAATTAATATAGATTTACCTTCGTCATTTCTCTATCATTAGGATATCAAGACAAATTCAAAAGGATGTTCAAAATGAAGTTAGGAGGATATCTAAACAAATTCAAATCACTCCCCTTTTCCATGACCTACTTTTGTTCAGCTTCTTTTCTCTTGGTTGACTTGTATCGTGGCCATATATAAATGTAATCACATTACCTAAACAACAGTGGCGCTTCAAAGACACTAGAAAGCATCTGGCAAAAGCAACTTAAAGAGTATTTTCGACATAAAAAAGATTTAAAATCACATTGAGCTGTGGGGTCTGGTAAGTCATTAGAATGTAGCTTCAAATATTAGCTCTAGTAGATTTTAATCAATGCAAATGTCAAGCTTACCATATAGCAGATGGGAAACAATTTATTGCATTACAAAATGTACTGGCAAAGCAGGATGAGAGGGAAAAAATGCAGTTGGGTTGCTCAAATTGAAAAGGAAAGATAGAAATGGAGGGACAGGGGAGAGGAGAGACAACAAACAAGGCAATGAAAGATAATTACATCAATAGTAGCATGTCAATTTTGAGACCTTAACCCCTGACTCCACCACCACCCACCTATTGATCTAGCCCCCGACTCCACCACCACCACCACCCCCTGCCCCCTCCCACAGTGCATCTTTTTCTCAGTGTTGTTATATAACTATGTCAGAGCAAATTAGAGGAATAAGTACCACAATTGATATAGCGACGAAAAACCCATGAAAACAGGAATGGATGTGAGGTACTCACAGATAAGAGATCAACACCATCGGGCCCCAATGATGGAACTGCTCGAGCAAGATTCTGAGATTCCCACAGTGGATACACATGCCAGTCTCGCAAAGCAGTTACTCCAGGCCACTGCTCCTCAGTTGGTGTTCCCAACAACCTTACAATTATTAACAACAAATACATGATTAGCCTCTTTTAAATTTGCTATGGTTTCTCTTTAAAAGATATTTTAGTACAGCAAAAACCTCAACAATGATGGCATTGCAACAGCAAATGCAAGGGCAATGGGATGAAGCAAAACCTAGGTCTGCCTTAAGAGTTTGACACAGGACAATGAATGAATGGGGTGAGAGTTAATTGGTACCTGAAGATGTGTAAAAGTTGTTGAAATTCTGAATCACCAGGAAACAAAGCTTGCCTTCTCACCATTTCAGCTGCGTTGAATGGAAAAACATGTACATTAGTAAGGCAGGTGATGAAACAGAAAAGAAGAAGAGTGAGATGAGAAAAAAGAGTTTACCAAAGATGCAACCAACAGACCAAATATCAACGCCAGTGGAGTAATGGGTAGAACCAAGCAAAACCTCGGGTGCTCGATACCAAAGGGTGACGATCTGAAGCGATTAATTTAATAACATCAAAAAAGAAGAAGAAAAGAATGATAGAGAAAGGGAAAGAGAAAGAGATATGACCTCGTGTGTATAACTCTTCATAGGGACAGTAAAAGACCTTCCAAGACCAAGATCAGCAATCTTAAGAATACCCTTATCTTTGTCAAGAAGAAGATTCTGAGGCTTAAGATCTCTGTGAAGAACACCATGGCTATGGCAATGAGCAACACCCTTAAGAAGTTGAAAGAGAAAGCTCTGAACCTGAGTAGGAGGAAGAGGACGAGGATTGGGACCCTTGCGATGAGAATCGATGAATTTCTTAAGATCGGTATCAAGATACTCGAACACCAGGTACAACAAGGGCTTCGCAATTCCAGTGCTGCTGTTCTTCTTGTCAACATGTTCAACACACAGCAATCTCACAACATACAGCGATTGAGACAGCATCTGCAGCAATGAAACTTCTCTGAGAGCAGTCGGTGGTACTCCTTCTTCATCCATTTCAAGCCTCGTCTTCTTCAGAGCCACCAGTTGTCCCGTCGTTTTCTCCTTTGCCTTGTATACCTTTCCGTAGGTTCCTTCTCCTACCTTCTCTAACTTCTCGTACTTGTCCATTTCAGGAATCTAATTGATTGGTCCTTGGATTGATCTTCTGATCTCACAAACCCTAATTTCGCCAAGAGAAAGGAGCGCCCCCTTTTTAATTTTGAATTTCCCCCTTCTTTCACATAACTAGTCTACTCCGTCATCCCTCTTTATTTCTACTCCCCTCTTCCCCCTTTTCTTTTTAGGTTACCGTTGTGCTTTGCACTTTCCATACCTCTTTCCCTTTTTTTTTCGTACAACTATTTCAAAATTCAAAATGTGTTACTCCTATAGACTTTAAAAAAACAAATCAACATACGGGTAAAACTCAATATGCATATGTCCATGGACAAACATTAGTTGCTGTATTATAACTATTGGAGATATTCTAGAATATTATTGGAGATATTCTAGAATATTATTGTGATATGCTAGAATAATATTTAGGATAAATATCTTATGTGAAGATATGATAGGATATTGTGGAATATCAGGGCAATGTTAATCCACCCTATTGTTATATATACTTGTATTATGGCCATGAAGATTAATGAGAATATAGTGAATATTTTGGAGAGTTTGTGATTAATTTAACATGGTATAAAAAGCCTAGTTAAGATCTAAATTTTTTTTGGTACGTACAATTTACATAATTGACGCATGTTTCTTGTGAGTTTATGAGACGCATTTTTTATTATTGTTTTTCCTCCATTGAGTTGTGAGAGATGACTGGCAGCTCAGGTGGTGACGGAGGAAAAACCAAAATTGACATGACTTATCACCTAGGTTCAAGTGATGGACCTGGGAATAGCGAGAGCTATACGTACCTTGTTGAAGGCAAAGCGAAAATATGGTTTTATTGACGGATTTGTCAAGAAATCGATGGACAAAGACAAACTGGAAGACTGGGTGGCTGTCCGTTCAATGTTGGTTGCCTGGATTACTAATACTTTAGACCATTCGATGAGGGCTACCATTGGTGAGTACGATGATGCTCAATTATTGTGGAATAATCTGAAAAATCGCTTTTGTGTGGTAAGCGGTACACAAATCTGTCAATTGAAATTATCCTTAAGTGAGTGTAGGCAAGGAAGACTGATTCTGTGGCCGTGTATTTTGGCCGAATTGCGAGAATCTGGGATGAGTTGAATACTTACCTTACCGTTCCCACTTGTTCATGTGGACCGTGTAAGTGTAACATTGTGGTGCAAGTAGAGAGATTGCGGTAAGAAGACTTTGTCCATCTTTTTTTGATTGGCTTAGATGATGCATATGGGTCTCTTAGGGGTGAACTCTTGGCTCAAGAACCTATACCAACTGTTGATAGGACGCATCATCAACAACTTATACAAGCTAACCGTTTGCAAGGAGGTGAGACATCTATGACCACGTCGACACCTCGGGAGAATGATATGGCGTTCAAGCTCCAACATGACTCTTCGTCTAAACCGCAACGCTCAAGTGAGAGTTTGGACAAATTTTGCACTCACTGCAATCGAGTTGGTCACGAGGAATCAGGGTATTTTCAGCTTCACGGCTTTCCACCATGGTGGGGGGATCGAGGTCGTGGAGGTCGAGGTAGGGGTCGTGGGGATTCCGGTGGTGGCAGAGGAGGAGGCTGGAATAGGGGTGTGGTGGTGCGGCAGCTGTTGCCCCTGTGCGAGCAAATAAGACTGGGGGGCAATCAGCTTCTGTGACACCCTAGAAATTCCTTTTCTTTAAAATACTTGTTTTGCCCTTTTTAAAAAACGAATTAGGAAAATCTAAGACATTATTGCCACCGTAATAACGTCCAAGGCAATTATCAAAGACACACAACGGAAGACTCTCTTTAAAACCATTCAAAACAAATCAACTTAAAAGTCAAACCAAACGAAAGTAAAGTCAAACCAAAGTCAAATGAAGTTAAACTACAACTTGGAACCATTGTAAACCCTTTTCAAAACCCAAACGAATATTAAAATCATTGTGTTAGTCTCACAAGAAAATATATAATAATTAAAGCAATTTAAACACGTCATAATTTTATGGAAACTAAACAAGATTCGCTCTTCACTCATGCCCATCATGAAAATGCTCCATCACCTTAAAAGCTTCACTTTACTTTGTCCCCACTACTCGCCATTAGAAATGGGTCGTCGTAAGGCCAAGATAAAGACAAGGCCAACAAACATACAATACACATAATCAGCAATGTTGAGTACATAAGCGTAAACGATTCACACTAACATGCATATATCCTAGCATCACACAACTTATCTTTTTGCACCTGTTTACAAGCATACAACACACATTTCATTCAATAGACATTTCTATTGCTTATTTAATTTTTTTGATTACGCATTGAACGGGTTTTCCGCCTAACCTGCCCCATTAAAGGGTACTAACACAAGAGTTAACCGTGCCGGTATAAAAGAACCACTCGTAAGTGGCGGAATTCCTGCGCTTAATAATAAAAAGAAAATACAACGTCCTGTACTCCCAATAGAATTTATGGTCAAATAAGTCACATAACCCCCCCTCCATATGTTCATACTCAAGGTATATACGTTCCAAGAGTTTTGGTGCGTAACCTCTTTCACTTTACATTATTTACATATTTTAGACTTGGTGATAAATTTCAAATCATAAAACAACCAACATACATTCATTCAAGCAATCAAACATACCAATTTAATTCTTGAATAATTAGTGACCACATTTAATTTAATGTTTAACCCTTTTAAAACTATCTCAGCTTTAAATACACCTTAAGCACATAATGCACCACAAATCCTATCCCTCGGTGTTTGGAACACCTTAAGTGCACTTAGGCACCAATATATAAATTAACCTCGTGTATATAGACACTTAAATAGCTCATTTCTCATGCTTATAGCATCAATAAAAATTATATGAACTATAACAAAATTCCCTTTTTATATTCCAAACCAAATCAAACATTTAGTTTAATTAAACATGCTCTTCATCATTCCAATAATAAAAATGTGGTCCATATTCAACATGCCAACATAATTAATTCCAATCCATAATTCACTTCAAATAATTCATGCCTTACAATTCAATCACCAAAATCAATCAAACCAATAATTCCAACCAATACATATCATTATACTAACTTGGAATTAATTAAACAAATCCTAGCATGCTTCTACACACTTAAATAATTACCGAGTACATGAACGTACCTCAAATATGATCTCAAAATCACCATAACTACACAAAATCACTCACTTGGAAGTCTCCTACAACCCAAAATTACAAAGAGACATTAATACCTATTCATAATGAATTTCTAGCAATATATACACTCTTTAAAACACTTTTAAACCTTCTAAAACATGCTAAAAATTAATTAAAACCATATACTTTTATTCCCAATTAATGGGTAATCAAAAATCCTTTCAAGAAACTTAATTCTAGCCTCTACATAAAATTTCCAGCATTATAAAAACTCTTAAACTTGCTGTAATTTAGTTTAAAAACATTAATTTCAATAGTTTTTATCAAACCACAATCAAATTCCATCAATATACATCAATTTAGAAACCTAGGGTTAACAATTTGGGGCTTTTTAATTCATAAACCAAATTTGAAAATTATATACATATTAATCATTATTAAAACATCATAAAATCATCACACACCCCAAAAATCAATAATTAATCAAACTAGATTCAATTAAAAACAAAAAGGAGTAGTTTTTTTTTTTTTTTTAAAAAAAACACAACTACACGCACGCAAAGAGGGAAGGGAGAGTGGCCAGTACGCCACCTCCCGCGGCTGTTGCTGCTGCCGCTCCGTGCTGGCAGCGGCCGATTGTGGTGGTGGTGGCAGCCGGCCACCGGTGGTGGTGGTGTGCGTGTGAGGTGAGTAAAGGGGAGAGGGAAAAATCAAGGGGAAAGAAAATTAGAGGAGAGAGAAAGAGAGTTTACCTTTGGGTATTCTCCACCTTGGGCAAAGTTTAATTTGCTCATAAGATGGGTATTTATACTCTTTCTCAAAACCCTCCTAACTTGATTTTCCTTTTTTACCCTTAATGAATACTACTCCTATTCCAATTGGCATTTGACTTTATTTAAAATTCCATTGACTTTAAAACTTCATTTTATAAATTAAATATGCCCAAAAGTTTCTAAATAATGAAGTAAAATATTTTCAAAATAAATAAATAAATAAAAATGGATTTTTAATTAAAATAAACCTTTTTAAATTATTTAAAATGCCATAAAATAATTCATTTTGAACTATTTAAAAACGCCATAAAATAATACTTTAATTTAATATACATATAAAAATACAGGGTATTACAGCTTCCCAGCCCATGTCAAGTAGGGCAGTTTCGACAGCCGATGGATCAACCCTTACGGGTGTAACTTCAGCTCAAATTCAGCAGATTATCGAGCACTTGGCTACTATGAAACCTAAACTTCAGGGTAAGGACCAATTGGGTTGGATCGTTGATACCGGTGCATCCGATCATGTGACTTGTGACTTGTCCCTCTTGACGAACGTTTATAATGTTCAACATTGTCCGGTAGGGCTACCAGACGGGAAGAGTGCTAGTGCTTCTAAAATTGACACTGTAATTTTGCAAGGGGGTTTGAAAATTGAGAATGTTCTTTTTGTGCCTCAATTAAACTGCAATTTAATATGTGCAACTCAATTATGTGATGAATCTAATTGCACTCTGTAATTCACTAACAAACTTTGTGTTATACAAGACCTAACGACGAGGAAGGTGATTGGAACGGGTGAACGAGTGGATGGACTATATTGTTTTCGAGGTGTTCCTGAGGAGAAGGCTTTGAAGTTAGATGGAGATCGTTCGATAGAGTTGTGGCATCAACGAATGGGGCATCCTTCGGGAAAAGTTCTTCAGTATCTTCCATTTATGAGTAGTTCTAGTAGGAGTCTTAAAAATAAATCTTGTGATATATGCCCTCGGGCAAAACAACATAGAAGTAGTTTTCCTATTAGCAAAAATAGAGCTAGTTGTATTTTTGAACTTATTCATGTTGATTTATGGGGGCCTTACAAGACTTCATCGACTTGTGATTCTCATTATTTCTTAACTATAGTAGAATATTTTTCAAGAGGAGTGTGGACGTATTTATTGCGTAATAAAACTGAGGTTGAATTGATGTATCTCAACTTTGTTGCTTTGGTTAAACGTCAATTTATTTGAGCATGAGATTAAAATCATTCGTAGTGATAATGGCACGGAATTTAATTCCCTGCGTGAATATTTTTTTACTAATGGGATCATATTTGAGACTTCTTGTGTGGGGACGCCTCATAAAAATAGGCGTGTTGAGCTTAAGCATCAACATATTCTTAATGTGGCACGTGATTTGAGATTTCAAGCAAATTTACCTCTTCGATTTTGGGGGGAATGTGTGCAAGCGGCTTGTCATTTGATAAACCGTACTCCATCTAGATTACTTTGAGTT